AACGACTTCAGCTGATTGGGAGGCAACACAAAGGGCAGCATATCGCGAACGTCATAAATAATGTCTCGTTGAAAGCCATCATAATACATGCTCTGCAGACGAGGGACATGTTCGAATATGAGCTCAACTGGCACTTTACGGCTCTGGAACTCAAAAGTAACAAGATTGCTGGCACACAGCTTGATCTGCTGCACCCCAATGCACTCATCTATGTTGAGATGCTCTAGTCGAAGGTTGGGCCCACAAATACGCAACCTAGTAGAACTAGGAAACTCACAGCAATTTAACCTCAACGAGCAGAGGCCCGAACAACCGGACAAGATTACGTCTAGTGCACCGTCGCGTAGAGTAACTTTACTCAACCTCAGACTCCGTAGGGAGTTATTAGTATACGAGCTGGGCGAATGCGCAGTCGAGACTGACGAGTGAAACTCCAAGCACCTCAAGCCGGGCATCAAGGGAAGAAAGTGGAGGTAAGAAATCTCACAACCGCTGCAACAACATTGATAAACGAGTTTCTGAACTCGGGCTGTGTCTGCTAGGTACTTGACCAATTCACGGAACCCTCCCTTGTATGATCTCCAGTATGATTCGCACAGACAACAAGAGAGAACGACACTACGGATTTTAGAACAACCGCGGGATTTGAAATACTTTGAGGATACGTCGAAGATGCGGGTGGAGAATTTACAAGAACTACGAGGGATTAAGAAGCTGATATCTATGTTGTAATAAATTTGTAGAAGTGCTTGGACAATATAGAGGATAATCTCGAATCTGGAACGACGAGCGGGAGGATGATGACGGCGGAGGACGAGGTGGTGGCAGCGGAGGTCGAGGTCGGCCACGAATTTGTAGAGGGTCGACCACCGTTTGGACAAGACGCTGGTCCGGACAGCTTCCTTGACGGGGAGGCGCGTGAGGATGGAGATCAGGACACCGTCTGGTAGATCGCCGATGACGTCATACTGTATTTGTTTTCTTCTTTTTCTTCTTATTGATGATGCATAATCAAAAATTCTATCAATACAGATCTTCATGGCTAAGGCTAATAGAGAGAGAGAGAGAGAGAGAGAGAGAGAGGTGTGTGTATTAGTTTGGGATTTATAAACCTTTTTCTTTTCTCCTTTTCAAGTGTTGTATTGGTTTCGGTTTTGGTTTTGATTTTGGTTTTGGTTTTGGTTTGGGTTTGGGAATTATAAATAGTTGAATAGTAGTATAATATCTGTCTACTAAGCGAGTACTTGTTAAAAACTAATATTTAAAATTAAATAATAATAACAATTTTTTTTTTTGTTTTTTAATACTTTTTGAAGAATATATTATTATTTATATTCAAAATGATACTGTCACTTTACATGATTTACCATCTTATATTATAATTAATTTTTTATTTATATCAGATAAATACTTTGTAATTAAGTTAGTTTGAATAGTTTTATTTTTTAGAATTAATATTAATGGATAATTTAACTTTTTAAATATAAATTAAATTATTATTTATTTTGTATGTATAATATAGATGTCAAATAGAAGTTCATCAAGATATGATTAGTTTGATGTATTATATAAAAAAAATTGTTAATAAACACAAAATTCATTAACTTTTAAATATATTTATAATTTATTTATATTTTTTTTTTGTAATTTTGAAAGAAAGAATGAGAAAAAATTATACATTATAAACTATGTCTACAATAAGAAATTGTAATAAAACATAATTAATTATCTTAAAAAAACATAAATAATCATTATATTTATATGTTTTTCAAGCCTAGTTACTTTTGGATTGAAACTAAATTAAAATTTATCCCAACAACAAAGCTTAAAAATTCGCCACATAGGAACACGAAACGTCGCGCCTGCCACTTAGGTTCGACATATTGGACAATTATTATAGGGAGGATATATAATTATGGAGTTATTGGATTTTTAAAGTTGTTACTAAATAATTCAATTAATGTAAAAAGAACATACTACCTCCTATTTTTAATATATGTCAGTTTTGAGAAGTTGCACGTTAATTAAGAATATTTTTTTTGTCAATAATAACATTATTTAATGAAGATAGAGATGGATGTTTTGAGAAAAAGTGAAGAGTGAATATGAAAAGATGTAATATATTTATTAGCCAAATAAGGATAATAATAGAAAAATATGTAAAAAAAAATCCAAAACGATATTTATTTGACAAATAGTTGATAAAGCTAGAATGACATTTAAATAAAATAGGAGGGAGTATTAATTATTGTGACTCATATAACAAAACCAATGTTTAATGTATGATTAGTATTGTAATAAATTAATATTACAATAATACATTTTTTTTTCGGAATTACATAATACATTAAACTAGTGGTCAACCCGTGCATTTGCACGGAGAAAAATACGTAGAAAAGATAATAATATAAAAATAAAAAAACAAAAATACATAACCATAATTCAATTCATGAAAAAAAAATATGAATTAAGAAAATGATTCTAAATTTTATTAAACATATTTGTTTGTATACAACATTCATAGTTTTCCTATCGTCGGAATCACCATCACCACATATCATTATCTTCAAACGCCTCCCATCCGTAACTCTATGTAGAGCAACGTACAACTGTCCATGATTGAAAACAGGGTTGTTTCAAGACTAAGCGGACGTGTGAGAAAGATTGGTATTAACTCTTGTTGATCGTCATAATATATGAGACCATGATAGAAAATTGTCTGCGTTGAAACTTGAACGGTACCCTCAAAAAAATAAAGAATAATAAAATGTGTGCCGAATTTATTATAATTGTCAGCAAATTAATGTAAACATTTGGATCGAAATTATCTATTGAACAAATAATTGCATTATAACAATTGTTGAATTAAGTTGGATAACATATTAAAAAAATGTGGGAATTGGGCTTAATTTTTTATTAAAAAAATTTATAAATGTGTCTTGAGCCGATAATCGCAATAAGTCTATTGGGTTCAACTTAAATATTATTTTTTTGGGCTTTACCAAATGATATCAGCGCATCACGCGTTTTTTTTCTCTGTCCAAAATATCCAAAATCTCATTTTTCTTATAAATTTCTGTTGATAATCATGCATTTTTCTTTGTTTTTTCTGTCAGATATTCCGATCAAATTCTAAATTTTTTCGAATAATAAAAAATTTCAAACAAAATCGAGATATAACATCAAAATCATTCCGATTTTACAGTCTCGTTTTACTAAATGCAAATCGTCTGATTACATAACATATCTATCAAGATCTAGAATTTTTTGTTTTGATTTAAGCTTGTCGTCCCTATTTGGCTAAAATTCTTCAATGAATGATAAGAAAATATTTCAATCGGGTGATTATAGTACGAATCTATCAAGATCTGTAATCTTTGTTAAGAATTTATGATTTTTTTCTATAAAACATGATGGGTCTCCTCTCAGATCTGGAGTGAACCGGTGGAAAGTCGCCCAGATCTGGAATGAACCGATGGGAATGAGCTCGGATCTGACTCGATAGCTTCCAAATCGTTGCTGGACCGCGAGAACACCTGCAAGAACTCAATGCCAGAGGGGGTTCCGGCGTAGAGCCTCCGACGCTCAAGTCAGTATGTGAAAGAGATGAAGAGAGCTGCTCTGAGGAAGCAGCAGCAATGGAGGAGTGTGTAGAATGAATGGGAGTTAGGGTTTTGGAGTTACCTCAGCTCCTTTATATAGAAGTAAAACATTTACCTGAAGTCCCCAAAATGCCCTGGCCGACTTGCTGGAAATGTCCAAAATACCCTGGTCGGTTTGCATTCCGTCCACTTCCTAGTCAGCATCTAGATTCTTCCTTATCTCTGGTAGCTTCCTTCTTATCCTCAACAACTGTCCTCCGATATGTTGAAGTGCACTGGAGTCGTCGAGATCTTATGAGCTTCAAGGCTTCCTCAGTCGACTCGGGATATCGACCCGTGTCGACTGGGCCATATTCAATTGTCAGTAGATCCTCACGCGTTTGACCGCCTTCCAAGAGGAAATCCACTTGTGCCAGTCGGCATGTGGAAGCCGACTGGGCGAAATGCCTGGACCCTCGATTGGATACCCTTAAAGAATCTGTGGACAGAGTCAACTTCGCGTAAGTCGACTCGGTAACCTCTGAACCGCAATGCTATTGAACCGTCATATGATAGTATGGCTATATCAAAATCGTATTTTCAGTTAATTTCAGAAGTCGATTGATATTTTTGCCGTCCCTATTTTGCTAACATACATCAATGAATCATAAGAAAATGGTTCAATAGGGCGATTATAGTACAAATCTATCGAGATCTGTAATGTTTGTTGAGAATATATAATTTCTTTTTAATAAATCATGTTTTCAGTCGATTTCAGAAGTAGATTAGATATCAAATCTTATTTTAGTGTTTGTTTTGCCGTTTTCGTTCAAAAATTTAAAATATCTACATAATTTGATGTCTTTTGCTCAAAACATAGATTTGTTTTTGCAAACAATGAATGGATATTGTTATATTTAATGATGTTCTTATGGTTTTCTGAAGAATATACATGTTGTTCAGTTGCAACAGTCGATATGCATATACATATGAGTCATGTGTCCGGTTTTGAAATTAAAAAAAAAAGATCCTTAAGTACACCTCATTTCTTTTCGCAATTTTGTTAAAATAAGGTTTTAATATTCATTTATGTTATTTATTAAATATTTTACTTTAATTTTAAGGAT